GAGCCCGCCGCCCCCTCTCCTTTCCCGGGCGTTGAAGGACGGTCCGTCACCTCTCGCGCTGCGCTCTGCGCCCTGTGCTACGCGCACGGCCAGGCTTTACCACCCCGCGGGGGTCTCCTGTAAGAAACAGACCGTGAGGGTTTGGGCTCACCCTCGTTTGGAGGGTTTGAAGGGACAAATCTCAGCATTTAAGGGTTTTCACCAACTGGTTGATGGCCACTGTGTTTTATTTTACATGGAGCCCACTGCCTTGGTTTTCACCCTAGCCTGTTCCCCGCTCCTCTGGACCTTTAGCGCTAACCCTGAAGGCGCTGTGTTTAGTGGTAGCCATTAGGAGAGCACTCAGAATAGGCCGTTTCTTCCCCTTTTTCCTCTTCCCTTTGCCCAGACCCCAGGGTTCGTGTTTCTCCCCTCGGTTGCCGGTCCTGAAGCAGTTCCTTGCTGGTGTGATGGGTGCCTGCTTGCACGCACGGGCAGCATGTTGCCTCTGAGCACACGGTCCCCAGCTGCATGTGCCCGTCTTTGGTGAACATCACGCCCGAGTCGAAGCCTGGCGCGCGTCGTGTGGGCGCCGTTGTGGGACGGGCACACACCAACCGCGGCACTCGGCCTTGCGAGTGCCAAGTGGGGTGTGGGACATCCCCACGGGATGGCCGGGGCCGCAGCGGTGTGCGGGAAGAGGCCCCGTTTGCATGTGTTTCGGCAAGCAGAGCCGCGGGCTCGAGGGGGGAGGGGAGCAAGCTCGCGGAAAGGGAAGTCGTGAAAAGCAGGGAAGCAGCTCTGCCAGAGAATATATTAAAGATGAGTCCTCTCGGTCTCCCTGAGGATTTTGCATCTAGGCGCTGCCTCTCTGCTACCCCTGGAGAGGGACTAGGAGCAGCAGCTGCCCGTGTCGCCCGGGAGAGGAATTTGTAGCCAGTGACTGGTCTTAGTCCACACGTTTTCTGGGAAGTCGTAGCGGTTTTTCCCTGCTCACGTCCTGTGGGTCGGGGAGTGCGCTGTAGCGGTCCCACGGCGCGTCCCCAGGGAGCACGGCACAGGGAGAATGGGGGATCGTTCCTCCTCCCGCACTTTGTCTGCTGGTGGTCGGTGCTCCGGCTTTGACTGCGAAGGAGGAGTGTTTGTGCGGGTCAGCATCCCCACTCCTCAGCGGGGTGCAGGCGTAGAGCCCGGTCTCCTTTTCTGAGGGTACGGCGGCGTTAGTGAAAGGGACATTTCTACCTGCGGCTTCGTAAAGGGAGCTTTGTCGGATGGTCCCTGCCCCTTTTTCCTTGAAGCCTGTCCCCGTCCTGCAGAACATCCCACGTGCCCGCAGCCATACCTTGACGTCTTCCTGCTGCACGTTGTGCCGGTCCCTGTGGAAAAGCAGATTCCCAGCAAGCTGCTAACAAAGCGCTCCTGTCCCGCAGTCCCGGCGTTGGCTGGCTGCAGTGCTCCGGGAGACGCGCAGACTGCTGTGTCTCCTCAGCGGGCAGGAAGGGATTCAAAGCTTTTAAAAGAGTTTCTCCATGGCTCGGGCATTAGATGCCATCCAGGCCTCCTCCTGGTCTTGCTGCCTTCTGACCTCGCACCTTCCCGTCCGAGCGAGGAGGAGGGGGGCTCAGCGGAGGGCTGGTCCCTGCCGTGGGGCCGCGTCGGGCCCTGCCCGCCCGCCGCGGGGCA